CAATTTCTGAGATTAGTAACAAGATAGTGTAGATGGGTAAACAGCTGGAGTTAGAAATTGATAATGAAGATGATGAGCAGTTGGTGGAAAGTGTAGCAGAATAGCTAAGTAACGAGGATCTTATTGAACGGGATGCACAGAAAATTGCAGAGGAAGAAGAGAGACAAAATGTAAAAGAACCTGCACACCCCAAAAAGTTTTCAGTGAAACAAATGGCAGAGGCATTTGCTACTACAGTATTAATAAGGGGATGCAAATGTTTGAAGAAATGGATCAAAATGTTGAGGTTTTTGAAAAAGTTGACAGATTGATCCAAGATGCACTTACTTGCTACAGAGACATTTACAATGAAAAGAAAAGGTAAACTGTGCAGTCTAAATTGGACATTTTTTAAGAAGTCCCCTACTGCTGTCTCCTCACACACCACCACTGCTGCCTCTTCACTCCTTAAAGATGATCCAATACCTTCAACAAGCAAGTATGTTAGCCTGTTAGAAGAAAGCGAAGTTGATGACCCACCCAGCCCTGTCTCCTCTGCTTCATCCAATTAATGTAGTCTACATGCTTAATTAAAAAAAATATTTAGGCCCTGTGTGCATTCAGCTGACTACATTAAAGGAAAGTGCACAGTAACACTTTATTCATTTTTCATTATTGATTACTTTAACTGTACTGTATAGTCTCGATTTACACGGATTTCCTTTACACGTTTGGTCATTTAAAAGGCACCTGGCCAGACCTACAATTATTAGTTCGCGGTACATTCCATCATTTACGCGGGAAGCGGCGCGGGCAAGGTGCGCACTAGGTTGCCCAGTCAACAAAACATTACCGAGTTCTTCACCCACCACAGCCGGCCCAAGTCAGTGATAGTGATAATAAGGACTTTGAGGGGTTTGACAAAGAGGCCCTGCAACCTCTGTGGTGGATAGTGATACAGATGATACAGGTGATACAAGTGATTCAGGTGAGGGCCAATAATCTGCCCTCTGCCTCGAAACCAACCCCCCATCCCCGTGTGCCCGGCCATCTCTTCTACTAACGTAAGTGTTAAAAAACCTAATATTATTGATATTTCTCTTAAATATTGATTGTGTGTGAATACCATCATAAAATTTAGATGTTATTTTTACTACAATGTACGTATTGTGTCGGAAAAAGGGTAGTCTGGCTGTCAGCCCAGTCTCTATTTCAATTAATCCCATATGTTCTGTTATTTTGTTGACGTGTTTCTCATTTTACGCGGACCTCCACGGGTTTAATTGACCGCGTAAACCGAGACTATATTGTACCGTATTTCATTTTAGAATTTCTTTGTAATATTTTTGCCTTTTCGACTTATGACCAATTTGTTGCCTTTTCGACTTACGACCAATTTGACTTACGACCTGGTCGTCGGGACGGAAACCCGTCGTAAGACGAGGAGAGACTGTACAAACAAAAAAACACGCCTTGCACACGGAGGCTGCCGAGCTTGTGAGTGATGACGGCAGCATCACTAGTATAAATAGTCGCAGCTGGTGGACATTTTATTTTCGTGCATCTGAACAGAAAAAGAAAAACTCAAGTTTCTTACGGCATTTTTGCTTCCCTACTCAACATGAACAAGAGAGCAAGTGATGGTAGTACTGGTTCAAAAGTTAAAAGAAAGTGTATAAGCTTAGCTGAGAAACTACAGTATACTGTAGTCTGGATTTACGCGGTCAATTGAACCCGTGGAGGTCCACGTAAAACCAGAAACGCGTAAATGAAATAACAGAACATAAGGGATTAATTGAAACAGAGACTGGGCCGACCCCCAAACTCCACTTTTTCCGACACAATACGTACGTTGTAGTAAAAATAACATCTTCATTTTATGATGGTATGCACTCACAATTAATAAATAAGAGAAATATCAATAATATTAGGTTTTTTAACACTTACGTTAGTAGAAAAGCTGGGTCGGCACACGTGGATGGCGGCTGGTTCCGAGGCAGAGGGCAGATTAGTTGCCCTCCAGTGAAACACAATCACTATTCACAGAGGTTTGCAGGGCCTCCCTGACAGACCCCTCAAAGTCCCTATCCTTACTGTCACTATCACTGACTTGGGCTGGCTGTGGTTATGGTGGGTTGCGGGTGAGGAAGTCCTCAATACTACGTTGATGACTAGCATTGATGTTGTCGAGATAGATCTGGATATATGGCTCCATAACTTTCGACATAAGGTTATTAGACACTTCATACCGATGCTTGACTGTGCCTTTTTCAAGGGTGAGCTTAATTTTCTCCCCCAACGCGATGATTTCCTTCACATTATCATGGCTTGGTCCAGGTTCAAGGATTTTCTGGGGTGGTGGGGGTCCAGCGGAGGCCATTGTGAGGGGAATAGTGGGCACAAGATAGAACTGTATACTCGGAGAACTGAGAACAATGAGACAGTCCCGGCTAGGTCAGCGACTTCTACCCTCTGGTGGCAGGGCTTGTCATGTTACATTAGACCAATCACAGCTAGCGCCGGAGGGAATGCGTGGCCCAATCATAGTCTGATACGTCATATGACGTCAGCGATAACGTAAGAGCGACCGAATGCGCACCAATCAGGTGATGGTCAAGAATGGACAGTGTGAGTAAAAAATGGCGCGGCGGTCCGGACCTCTCCAGTCGCTCGCCGTGTAAATGACCAAATTTACCGCATAATTAAAACATTTCATTCTGGCAAGGCACCGCATAAATGACCAAACGCGTAAACAAAAACCGCGTAAATACAGACTATACTGTACATGTGTTAAAACGACGTGAAAAAGGTGAGAGAGGTCTGTGGATATTTATTATGGAAAAAGCAATGAACATGAGAAAAGGAAGCATCTGTACAGTACAAGGTTCTTTTGACAGCATTATTATTTGAAGGCTTAATCCATCAACTTCAGCTACACCATCAAATTCAGCATCATAAGCAGCTTCATCAACAGCTTCAGGTTCAGTAACAGTTTCAGCAACAGCTATGACATCTTTATGGAAAGCTACAGCTTCAGCCAGATTTGAACCTGATGACTTCGTCATCCGAATAAAAACTTGCACAACATTCATTGGCTGTCCTTATGTTTTAGACTTTGCCACCATTGGTGAGTATAATTTTTGTTTTACTCTAGTAAGTATTATTTAAAACATATATGAACAGTAATAAGTGTTGTTTTCATAATCTTATGGAGAGAAATGACAATATGTTTTCACATTTATGCAATTACAGGCGTCCCCTGCATTACGGAAGAGTTGCGTCCCTGGAAAATTGACCGTATCGTGAAATTCTGTAACGCGAAACCTATTTTCCCATTGACTTCCATTATAAAACTGGAGATGTGTTCTTAAGGAATTTTTTTGGCCCCAAAAAAGTAATTCAAGCACTTTTATGAATGAAAATAAACATTTATAAACACACAATACAGTACATTAAATAATTTATGATATACATGAAATATGAAGAGAAATACAGTTGGAATAAATAAAAATATTGTACTGTACTCGCCACAAAAGATGTTGACTGCTGCGTGAGGATAGGTGGTGCAAAGGGAGTTATTGGGAGGGAGTTGGAGGGGTACTACTCACTTCTGCCCTGCCCTGTAAATCATCATCTGCTTTAAGCTTTGCTCTGGGGGGTGAATAACTCATCTAAAGTTGTTTGACGTTTACGGTGCACCTTCTCCTTGTACAGCTCAGTGTAGGAACTGAGGGCATTGTTAACTGTTCTTGCAACCTTGATGTTCCTTTCACGGTTGGGGTCGTTATCAGCAAAGATTTGCAGACCTTCCTCTGTTATTGCAAACCCTATACAGTAGGCTCTCGCCAATAACGTTTAATAGGTGCCTGAAAAACGCCGTTATTAGCGAAACTTTATTTGTGTGACATTAAAATACATGTAAAAAGGGTTTATTGGTGCTGCCGCCCCAAGAATTTCACCCAATTTTTCCCCTTAGAAACCCTCCTAACACTTTTTGTTTGCTGAAATAAAAAGAATTGTTATTCAATCATCAAAATATAGAGTTTGAGTAATATAACATTTAGCTTGGGGGAGTTTTTGAGGTGCTTGGTGTGATGATTGTTCCGTATCTGAGGGCCGTTAAGACTTGCACTGTCTTTCATTCTACAAGCTAACCATTTCACAAGAAAATGCTCTGTTATCACTATCAACCTGTTTCTATCACTTTTATCATTCATAGCTCGCCTCGCATTTCCTTTACTACCGAAATATTTCTTAGCCAGTGCAATACTCTTCTTGGTCTCCTCTAAGTTCCTTTTAATATTTCGCACTGTAGACTCAGGACAGTTCAATTTCCTCACAATATCAATGTTCCGTGCACCACTTTCAATGAGCACAACAATCTGTTCTTTAACCTTGACCGAGTAGGCACGCTTCTTGAGGCTTTGTCTCTTAGCTTTGGGGTCTTTTTTCTCATTCACTTTAAAAGTTCCGGGCATTCAGGCGGCAAATCACTCCCTCCACCACCTCCCTTAACCCCCACAGGCAGAAATGCGAAAGCCATTGTTGATCACCGACCCTAGCAACCACTGGTTATAGAGGCGAAAATCTCATACGTGGGCGCAGCGCTGTATTCCACCGAGCGTGTGTGAGAGTGAGGCGGAGAGGACACCTACGTCATCAACATGGCGGCAAACAAACGCTATCATTGATGCGCACGGACGCTTCCCGCAAAATCTCCGTTATTCAAGAGAATCCAGACGTTATTATCGAAAATGGGTATCTATTCTAACTTACCGTTATTGTCGAAAACGTTATTGTGGAAGTCATTATTGGCGAGAGCCTACTGTAGAAATATCCTTTGTTGTCAACTGAAGTGAGGTGGGTGGAGATTCTATATCTTCTTGTCCTGCAGCTCGGTCTTGTTCCAACATCATCAGATTTTCATAAGTCAAATCTTCTCTATGGGACTCTAGCAACTCAACCACATCATTTTCTATGACTTCTTCAAAATCTACATTATTTGCAAGTGTCACAATGTCTTATTGAACTTGCTGTAGACTTTCAGCTTGTGAAAAACCTTTAAATTCATGGACACACTCTGGCCATATGCTTTTCCATGAACCATTCATAGCTGAGGTTTTCACTTCATCCCATGACTCGGCTATATTATCCACAGCATTCAAGATGTTGAACTTCTTCCAGAAGTCCCTAATTGTGGGTTTATCCTCCCCATCAATTGATTTTATGAGCTGCAAAAAAGTTGTTCTTAGATAATATTCCTTAAAGTTAGCTATCACACCTTGATCCATTGGCTGGAGCAAGGAAGTTGTGTTCTTGGGGATGTACTCCACTCTAACATTATCAGAAAGATCATTTAAATTTACTGGGTGGCTTGGTGCATTGTCTAAGAGGAGCAATGCTTTATTAGATATGTTACGCCTGGCATTATATCTTTCTACAGCAGGGCAAAAATAGTTAGTGAACCAGTCTTGGAAAAGGGTCATAGTCATCCAAGCCTTCTTATTGGAACGCCATATCACAGGTAGATTAGACTTGGCATAGCCCTTGAGAGCTCTTGGATTTTCAGAGTGATACACAAGTAGGGGGCTTTAATTTCATGTCACCTGAAGCATTGCCTCCCACAAGAAGTGTTAGATGATCTTTGGATGCTTTAAAGCCCGGTGCTGATTTTTCTTCAATGGAAATAAAAGTTCTAGCAGGCATGCGCTTCCAGAAAAGCCCAGTTTCAACAACATTGTACACTTGTTCTGGTGTGTAACCTCCTTCATCAATAATTTTTTTCAGCTCGGCAGGATATTTATGAGCAGAATCTGTATCAGCACTGGCAGCTTCACCGGTCATATTTATGTTGTGTAAATTAAGGCGCCTCTTAAACCTTTCAAACCAGCCTTTATTAGCCAGAAAAGGTTTAGCACCTTCCTCTTCCTACAAATCATTAAACAAACTTATGGCTTTCTGTTGAATGACCATAGTGTTTCGTGGCACATTGCATTTAGTCTGATCTTCAATCCAGACACTCAGGAGTCATTCCATATGAACCATCACATCACTTCTATGAAAATACAAGGTTCGAGCAGTTAATGGAGTAGCTGCTTGAGCACTTACCTAATTTTGTCCTTATTATCACGGATTGTTCCCACTGTTGAAGTAGCAAGACCTAATGTTTTTGCAATCTGGCTAAGTTTTTCTCCAGCATCAAACCTTCTTAAAACTTCAAGTTTAATATCCAATGTAATGCCTTTGCAGCTTCTTTTTCCACTACAGTGGAGTCTGCATTTACGTGGCTTTTGTTTACATGTTTGGTCATTTACGCGGTGCCTTGCCAGAATGAAATGCATTAATTACGCGGTAAATTTGGTCATTTACGCGGGTGAAGTATAATTTGTTTACTGTATTTACTGAAGATATTTGTTTTAGCTCATAAAATTCATACAAATTACCCGGCCAGAATATAATTTACATTGCTGGAATTCTTATAAGATTATGATTATTTTAAATATAAACATAAAATTTGCATTAGACATACAAATTTTAGATCTAATGTAAGAATTTTGATTAGAAACAGCAAAAATTTTATCTTTTGTGCAAAATATATGACATTTATATTCAAAATATTCCTTGTCCCGCAAGGAATCCAGCAATGTCAATTATATTATCCTAACTTTAGTCTGAGGTATTATTTATTACTAAAAATGTAAGCCTACTGTTTTCACCCAAACATTTTCTCAGAGAGGGAGGAGCCAGCAAGCGTGAGAAGAGGGGGGGGGCGGGAGTTGAGTCTATTATTTGAATGGACATTAACCGGCGACTGTATTTCTCTTAAATATTAATTGTGTGTGCATACCATCATAAAATTAAGATATTATTTTTACTACAACGTAGGTATTGTGTCGGAAAAAGTGGAGTTTGGGGGTCGGCCCAGTCTCTATTTCAATTAATACCATATGTTCTGTTATTTCATTTACGCGTTTCTCGTTTTATGCAGGCCTCCACGGGTTCAATTGACCGAGTAAATGCAGACTCCACTGTACTGCGGTCACTTCCACTTGATGGCCTCTTTCCAGTCATCTTGAATAAGGGTAATGCACTGTACTGTACTAACTGTATGTTTGTAAAAGTTAAATACAACTGCTGGGGCGAGAAACATGTGCGCACACTGGATGTAAACAATGGAGTGACTCCGCATGGTGATGCCGCGCTTGGCGGTAGCAAACACCAAGAAATCCACACCAAACAAATTATAATTTTTAACAAAAAAATTTAATTTTATAGTGATTTTTTTTTAATTGTTAAAATTTACCCCAATTTCCGTAAGGGCGGATTTACGAGCCGTATCTCGAAATTATGGTCATAATTTACAAATTCCGAAAGAGCGAAATTCCGCAACCCGGGGTTCTGTAACGCGGGGGATGCCTCTAAGTTAAAAGAGGGGATGAGTGCTGCCGCGGCTGGTCGGTTGTTTGGTATAGGTATACAGTAGTGCACTAACGTAGATAAGTTGCTATTCGCGGTTTTACCAATTCGCACCATTTCTTGGAACCTATCCTCGCGTATTACAAGAGTTTACTGTGCATTTCATATTTCAAAGCCAGAAAAAAAATCTCCCATCCCTGGAATTTTCTGGGCACCGGAAAATTTTCCCTTTAATTTCTGGGAAATGCCCTTGATTTCCGTCTCTCAAACCCAGAATAAAAATCCCCATCCCCGGAATTTTCCAGGTACTGTACTGGGAAAATTTTCTCGTTATTTTCCGAGAACATTTTAATTTCGGCTAGGAAGTGTTCCGGTTAAGAGGGATTCCAGCAAACGGAGATAGGTGTATTACTATACAAGGGACTACTGGGACCACCCAGTTACCCTCCACTGCCTGGCCAGATGTTTTTAGTGGAACATAGCAAATTATGAATTACAGTAATACCCCGCTTAACGCGGTTTCGCATATACGCGGTGCCTCGCCAGAACCGAACTTTCACTTAATGCGGTTCATCTACCCATATACGTGCAGAGTGTCCGGCTCAACGCTATTTTTAGATTCGCCCCACCCGCCACCCGCTGCTCCCGCCTACCGCCTGCCTCGCGCCTCCTCCTCCTCCCTCCCTCCCTTCCCGCCTCCGCCTCCCTCCGCCTGGGCAAGCCGCGCTGTAAGGTTGCGCAGTGTGTGTCTTTGTTGCGTTATCACTGACGTCATATGACATATCGGACTGTGATTAGCCATGCATCCCTACCCCCCTCTGCTGCTAGCTGTAATTGGTTTAAAGTGTCCACCCGGGGAGGGAGGGAGGGAGGAAAGAGGATGCTGCCGCGGTAGTTTCATCCCTCCAGGCCACCCCGTGTATACGTGCATCCATTGTTCTGTGAAATGGCTTCCGCCGGACCACCACCGCCACCAGAGAGAAACCTTTCCTTACCTGGACCCAGCCGCCCTAAGCCCAAGAAGACACGCCGTGGCCTAAGCTACGAAGTGAAATACCAGATCATTCAAGATTTGGAGAAAGGAACACGTCAAGTTGATCTCGCGCGCCGGCATGGCGTCAACGAATCTACGATTCGCACTATTAAGAAGGATTCAGCCAAGATTAAAGAACACATGAAAATCACAAAGTCTGCAGGTGCTTCAATGATCAAGTATTGCCAGAACAGGGTGCTGGTAAAGGTGGAAAATTTGCTGGTGAATTATTTGATTCGTCAGGCGTGACGCAACATGGCGGTGGACACGCGTTCAGTGCAGGAGTACGCACGTGAACTGTACACAGCAGTGTCACGTAAGCTGGGAATTGCAGAGCCCAAACCCTTCAATGCTTCCTCTGGTTGGCTGCATAGGTTTAAGAAGAGGAACAAGATCACCAACATCAACATTGGTGGTGAGGAAGCGAGTGCTGACCGTGTGGCGGCTAGAGATTTTCCTCCGTTCTTATGTGAGGTTATGGAGGAAGGACAGTACACTGACGACCAGGTGTTTAACATGGACGAATCTGGTCTTTTCTGGAAAAAGCTACCTTCCAAGACCTTCGTTGTCCAGTCTGCCAGCAAGGTAAGGGGTCGGAAGTTGCAGAAGGAACGCATCACCGTCCTCTTTACCACCAATGCCTCCGGTACCTGTAAACCAAAGTTATCGGTGATTCACACAGCCCGCAAGCCGCACGCCTACAAGAATATGGACATGAACAAGCTTAATGTCCACTGGCTAACCGCACGTAAGGCGTGGATGTCCTCTTCTCTGTCCCTCTTCTGGTTTGACGACTGTTTTGTTCCCGACGTGAAGAAATTCTGCGAGCAACAGAATGTTCCATTCAACATTTTGTTGCTCCTTGACAACGCACCTGGACACTCGCCCCTACTTATGGATCGTCACCCCAACGTAAAAGTGGTCTTCCTTCCTCCCAACACTACGTCATTAATCCAGCCCATGGACCAGGAGTTGATCTGCAATGTGAAAGCTGCATACTCTGCAAAGAAGTTCAAGCTCCTGAACGACTCTACCAACACCAAGGATGAGTTGCGTAAGCTGGGTGACACCGACAGCGAGAGTAAAAGCGACGAGGACAAGGAACAAGAGGTGGCGACTCAAGAAGTTCTCGTCAAACAGTTTTGGAAGAAGTTTAACGTCAAACAAGCTGTAGACTTCTTGGTGGAGGCATGGGGTCAGCTGTCTATTGCTACGATTCGTCACGCATGGAGACATGTGTTGCATGGCATACCAGCTGAGAGGAGGAGTCAACCTGTGACTGGTGAGGTTCAGACTGTTGCAGTAGCAGTGGACCTTGCCAGAGAAGCTGCGCACAATATTACAGCTGAAGGCTTCTCCGAGACCACCAACGAAGACATCCTGGAGGTGATCAGAGATCCTGAAGTGACTGCCGACGAGATGTTGGAAGATGAGCACGTCAGTGAAGAGGAAGAAGGTGCGTCATTCTCGGAAGAACACAAGTTAAGTCATAGTGATATTAAGGGTGCCATGGAGTATGCAGAAAAAATGAAGTCCTTCCTTTCCCGCGACAATGACGATGACCGCTATGAAGTCTTCCATACCCGGCTGGTGCAGGCTATGGAGCCGTACATCACGGTGTATCAAGACAACATTAACACTAGCCGTCAAAAAAGCATTACCGAGTTCTTCGCCCGCAACCCACCACAGCCAGCCAGTGATAGTGACAGTGAAGGTGACTTTGAGGGATTTGTCAGGGAGGCCCTGACAACTATAACGGATAGTGATGGTGATTCACCTGGTGATGGTGATTCACCTGAGGGCCAGTAATCTGCCCTCTGCCTCGGAACCAGCCTCCATCCCCGTATGCCGACCCATCTCTTCTACTAACGTAAGTGTTCAACATAACTTTTAGTTTTCCTAACCTAACCTTTATTTTTCCTAACTTAACCTTTATTTTTCCTAACCTAACCTCTTCTATATACTTGTTTGTGCATACCATCATAAAGTTAAGATAAAATTTTTACTACAACATAGTTGTGTGTCGTCAAAAAGTGGAGTTTGGGGGTCGGGCCAGTCTCTATTGGAATTAATCCCATATGTTCTGTTGTTCACTTAACGCGGTTTTCACTTAACACGGTACCCTGTGGGTTCAATTGACCGCGTTAAGCGTGGTACTACTGTACACTACTGGTCTATTACTTTGAGTCATGTGCACCTTGTATTAATGCAAGTAACATCTGTTAAGACTTTACAAATGTTTCTTAAGACTAATGGTTGTAATCTAAAAAGTTTTTGAGCTTGCAAGGCAATAATTAAATTGATGTGAACTTGTCAGACTGGCAGTCAAATTTCTTGTCAACTCGGCTTCAGAGCAAACAAGAGCTATACATACATGGCCGTTAGACTTCAGAGAATTTGGTGGGTGACAGGTTTTTATGTCATGATTAATGAGATTCTGAAATACAAAAATGACAATTATTTCAATATAGTCCTCAGATTCTCTGATGGCAACAATCAAAGAAATATGGCTTCGGTTGCAAATGGATATCGTAACTTCACTGGAGCATGATCAGTGAATTCTGGTTTTGTTTGACAGTCAAACATATCGTCTTAGTACAAATTTCACTACAATTAAATAGAGTTGAAGCTTTCAATCTCACTGTCAATGGATCTTGAATGTTCCAGTTATATACGTTACACCGTAAATTCAAATTTACATATCTTGATAGCATTTCAGGAAATATAGAAAATGCTTCAAAAGATCTCACAGTATGTGCTCTTTTCTTTTTTTCAGTCTCACCACCACAAACACTGCCTAAGTTTCCTTTTAGGGGGCATGATTATGGTAAACTTCACCTGGAAAGAAAAACTTTACCAGCGTAAATGCTTGGGAGATGTTCACAGAACCATTGTGAGAGAGAGAAGGATGCCAGAGTTATGTTGTGGTTATTTTTCAACTCGTAATTTTGGGTTATATGCATGCAATCTTTCATACAAAATGTGCAAATAAAACTACAAGAAATAATTATCATCAGGTCAAAAACATAAAGGGAATAAACATTTCTTCATGTGCCAGAAATAGCATGCTGAGCGACTGAAGGGGTAGCAACATGAGGGATCTGAGCTGTCTTCTGTGTCCCATGTGTAGTGAAACGATTGCCAAATGGCGGCAATGTAGTATTTTGTCTTTTACTTTATTTATTATTATAGTAGAACCTATTATCTGGCACCTACTGGGATTGAGAGGTGCCTGATACAGTCCTGCAGCTCATAGGGTGTTTCTGTTCTTAAAAGGTACCCTAAATTTCTCTCTGGATTATGAAAATACCTGTAGACATATTGAAAGGTCGGAAAAATGTAGCTGGACATGCAGTAGCCTGTGAAATCTCTAGATATAGTCACTCCTATACTTGATTTTACTTCTTGCTGTAAATAACTTATACATCCAGTTTTCTGACTTTTCATTACAGTAACTGAGATTGGGCATTGATTAACTTTCTAACCAATATTGGGATTCTTATGAAACATCAGTCATTTGTTTTCCTAATTATTGGCAACATTCAGAACAATTTCGGAAGCTATTGTATGAGGGCCTGGGGTGCCACCATTTTATGAGGGCCTGGGCTGCCACCATTTTATAAGGGCCTGTGTGTCTGTAACAATTCCTTTTACTCTCATACTTATTACCATTGGTAGCGTGACGAGAGGAGGCTCGTGGGTGTGTAATGATAGTATCAATTAATAGGGAAGAAATAACGGTAAATACTGTAGGTAAATAATAGACACAATATACAAATACAAAATTTATTTAAACATTAATATGGAATTAGGAAAAGAATATATATGTACCAACAGACGAAATCTGGTACTATGCCCTCAGGCTCAACATACTCACACCACTACTGGGTGGACATACTCAATAACACTCCCAACCCTACTGGGTGGACATACTCAATAACACATAACTCTTATAGTCACTTAGCACCATGAAGACCAGGGCAACTGCCACTACAAAACTCGGTCGTCAGGAGTGATACTCAAGCAACCGCCATGGGATCCTGCCACCATGGAGTACTTTCCGACGAACTCTGAAGATCCCAGTGGATTAACCCCACCACACAAATAGCCCTACTGAGGTAAACACTCATCCACCAATGATGGGGGCTGGTAGTGGTGTGTGGCTTGGTGATCCGGGGCCACCTCGCAGGCCTAGCGTTAGGGCCAGACGAGGTAGCTATGGGGGCCATAGGTAGTCTGAAGTTTCTGACGGCCGGGTCTCACAAAGGTAACTGATCCTACTGGACCTCGGACATCTCCCCAGACACAGTGGATACAACATCCACGCTACAGACACGGCCTAGGCTGCGTTAGGGACCTGTATGGGTGAAGGGCAAGCACTTAATAACTGTGACAACGACATCACATTTCAGGGGACGTTAAAGACGTAAATATGACTTCACTCAGAGCATATCAACTACGTTACTGTAACACTTGCACAATCAACTATTAATTGGGTCAAGGGACGAGCACTTACTAACGGTTGAAATGCCCGCGGCACCCTCACTCAAAATAGGCCAGGGAGTCTACCTACTTCTATATCGATGAATTAATTTACTGTACACTCTGACGTTGAAACTAAGACTATGAACTCAGTTTCATTCTCTACTATTATCCTCACTAACAATGCTCTGACTCAGCTATCAAAAGCAAAATTAAATTGATTACAAAAGGTTGGATGGCAACAGGTCCCAACATACAGCGTCTGCTACGAAATCCGTGGATTATATTCGAGAAAACGGGGGACGTTTCCACTGGGGGACTCGGAAGGTTTTGTGGACGTTTGAGCGTAATATGAATCCTTAAAGTTTTCAGGTTAGCCGTCATCACGATGATGACAATTGGATGAAATGCAAAGAAGAGCCAAGCGAGTGAACTATAAGGACTCCACAGATATGTGCACACTTTTTTCACGGTGTGACAATGTTGGTGTGACTATATCTAGAAATTTGACTGGCTATTGCATGTCCACCTATATTTTTCCTACCTTTCAATATGTCTTATCTTCATTACCTTCAAATCCCTAAGGCTCGGCCATTTAAGGACCCATTCTAATACGTAAAACAAAAATTAAGTACAGGTTGGACCCTGCTAATCTGGGACCCGATAGTCTGGAAGTTTCGATGGTTTGGGACGCATATAATAGGCAGCTATCAAACAGGGAGGTACGTACTACCGCCTGGGAAAATATTGGAAGCATAATGTGTTGTCTAATGGTAGACCCTGCTGCCATATGGCATCACAAAAATTGTGAACAAGTCCCAGGTTGCTGATCTGACTTTTTGCCTCATTTACACACAATTGCAGGGTCTCAATTGTTTTCTATACTGTTCTCCCAACTCAACCAACTATTTTTAACTCTGACTGTCTCACTTCTTGCCACAAGTCCAGTGCTAAAAATAGTAAACATGTAAATAAAGGGGACTGCATATATTAAGTCACTTTAATTTAACCTAAGTAAATTTAGTCATACAGTACACTATTGGGTGCACTGGTAGATTGTGAAATCTCTCTTATGGACCAGAATCCAGCCAAATGGATTGATTAACCCTTTGACAACTAATTTAACCCTTTGTTGATCATGATGTAACCCTTTGATGACTGATTAAATCCTCTGACTATGATTTAACCCTTTGATGATGCTGTTTTAAACCTTTGATGGCTTTGATTTAACTCTTCAGTCCTCAAAGGGTTAAGGCTATAGTGGATAGCTACTAAGAATCTGGAGATCAACAATTGCCTCACCACCTTGCAACATGCAACACTGCTGGAAAAGGCTTGTGTGAATAAAAAAAATTATAATTTTATACTGTACATTTATTTTAGTCTTTATATAATTCAAGCTGGAGTAACCAGCATTACCTGGGTTTGTCTTTGAGAAGGAGCTCAGAGCCTATGCTTGTGACTACATCATCAGTTACACTATGAGCTGCAGTCCACACTAGAACCATACCACTATCTACACTACTCCCACTACACCAGAGGTTACCAAACTGTGGGTGTGAAGCCATGTGGGAAAAAAAAAATTAATTCAGCATTGCCCATCTACCTCAATCCTTCCTATTGCCCGTTGATTGAGAAATGTATTGACAGTACTGTACTGATTTTCTTTTTTCTTTTTTGGGAAATTTTCAATAAAATTGTGTAACATAATTTTTCATTTCAATCTTCCCCATATAATAATAATAATAATAATAATAATAATAATAATAATAATAATTAACGATTTATTGAAAAAGTCAGCAGCCCGAAGGCTGAAAATATACATTGGACAAAAATGACTTATTACATACAAAGACATGGGGTGGGTGGGTCGTTTAACAAAAGCTTTCGTTACTAAAAGGAGAAGGAACAATGATTGAACATACAAATTATTATAGTTTACAGTTGATGGCCCAGGCCTGGGCTGGTCATGGAGACACCAGGTGGTGTGGTGTTCACGTAGTGCAGTAACTCGTCCTCGGGTGTTGATATGAAGGACCTCACGTGGTCATGGAGATACCAGGTAGTGTGATGTTCACGTAGTGCAGTAACTCGTCCTCGGGTGTTGATATGAAGGACCTCACGTGGTCATGGGGACACCGGGTGGTGTGGGGTGGTGTCACTTTTACTTTTTACTTTTACTTTTATCCTCTTCGCCACTGATCGGCTTGTTAGCCGCTTGGCGATCGGTCCTGACTCTTTCCTTTATATTCTTCACCAAAAGGTCGGCTCGCTAGCAGGGCGTCGTCACGTCTCTGTCACGCACTGTTGGCAAATACTGGGCATGCACCGGCTCCTGAATGTACCTGAACCCGCTCCAGTGTTGGTCAAGTCTTCTCTTGAAAGAGCTCACACTCGGTGCCGTCACAACACTCTCTGGTAGATTGTTCCAAGAGTTTACAACCCTCACTCCGAAAAAGTTTGCCCTCACGGTTTTCCGGACTTGCGGCTTCTTCAATCTTGAGCTGTGACCCCTTGTGGGGCGAGCGTCCGCCAGCTCCAAGTAAGGACACTCAACTGAGTAGTGCCCCCTGAGATGCTTATAAACCTCAACTAGGTCCCCCCTTGCCCGTCTGTAGTATAAGCTAGGCAAGTTCAGGCGCTCCAATCTCGCAGGGTAGCTGAGATGCCGAAGTGCAGGCACCAGCTTGGTGGCCCTCCTTTGAACATTTTCAACCAACTGACAGTCCCTAGCATATCTCGGGGACCAGATGGGGTGACAGTACTCCAGATGGGGAAGCACTTCACTCCTGAAGATCGTCACGAGGGACGGACCGTCTAGATATCTGAACGACCTTCTTATAAGACCCAATAATTTATTTGCCTGATTTACCTTCTTCTCACAATGGCCCGAGAACTTCAGCTCATTGTCAACATACACACCTAGGTCCTTCTCACACACAGTCTCAACTAGTACATTTTCTTCATCCCGTTGGGACATATGGTACGCCTCCTTACCGTTGGTACGCCCCAGGTGCATCCTCTTACACTTCGTGACATTGAATCTCAGCAGCCATTCCTTCGACCATTCCTGGAGCCCACAGAGGTCCTTCTGCAGCTCTTCACAGTCCGCTTGGTTCTTAATTTCCCGAAATAACTTGGCGTCATCGGCAAACATTTGTATGGAGGAGTGTACAACGTCAGGCATATCATTTATGAAACAAACAAACAACAGCGGGCCCAATACACTACCCTGCGGTACCCCACTTGTTACAGGTACAGATGACGATTTCGTGCCATTAATCACCACACATTGCTTGCGGTCATGTAGAAAGTCTTCTATCCACGCTAGGACATTTCCCCGAATTCCGTACCCTTCCAGTTTGATTTTCAGCCTTTCGTGGGGTACACTGTCGAAAGCCTTGGCAAAATCTAGGTAAATATTGTCGATATTACCACCCCGTTCTAGAATATGGGTCCAAATATCCAATACCTTGAGCAATTGTGTCAAGCAAGAGCGCCCCGGCATAAAACCGTGTTGGCAATCTTTTACAAGGTTGTTTCGTAGTAGATGTTCCATCGCTGCATCTCTGATAATACTCTCAAGTACTTTACATATTATGCTGGTCAGGCTCACCGGTCTATAGTTGTTCGTGGAGTGCCTATCGCCCTTCTTGAAGATAGGACTCACATAAGCCACTTTCCATTCTGATACCTCGCCCTGCTGGGTGGTGTTGTGTTATCTCGTAGTCAGGTGCATAGCTGGCCGGCCCTCTGTTGTTCCCATGGTGGACTGATTAACACCTCCTGGTCAGAAGACTGCAGTGTTTATCCCATTGGTGGGTCGCGGCTCTCACTGGCACTGTCTAGTGCTGAATTCACTGGCTTACGGTAAACACTAATCTCACTTCTTTCCGAAACGAAATTGTCACTTTTGATTATGTTGATATCCCGGTGGTGAGGATGGGTAGGGGAGAGGGACTTGGGGAATGGGCCGAACATTGGCCAAGGGGGGCCAATGCTCAACAGTAATATAAATATGAGTACGTACAGTACAAGGTGTAAAATTGATTAAAAGTTTATTAAATTTATTTTAAAGAATTGGGATGGGAAACATCATGTGAAAAAACTGGACATAACATCCACTACACTATAATTTACTCTACATCCACTACACTATCTACACTATATCACTTACACTATCATCTCAAGATATAAACGTTCAAAGTGCAAAAATATGTTTATACAAATTTCCTAAATTGATACCACTATTACATGTTATGAAAGCTTTCCCTATTTATACAAATTTGGGTCCCGGCAAAATTCAAATTGCGTGCTCCTGGGAGTCAGCTGGGGGTGGCCACATTCCCCTTGTGCTTTCCCTACCAGGCTGAGGTAGGAGTTATGTTATGGTTATTTTTCAGTTCGTAATTTTGGGTATACAGTATTGTATATACAACATATTTTTTTTCAGTTACATGCACACACAAACGTACATACAAGCTGTACACACAAAAAACAAAAATCATAAGGTAAAAAAAATATTAAGGGAATAAACATTTTGTATGAGCACGGGACTTATCACAGACCGGGGTAGACATACGTTTTTTTTCTTTTTTTCCTATTACAGTACAGTATATGCACAGACAATGAGAAAAAAATAATTAAATGATTATAATATAAAAAATATAAAGAGAATAGACATTTTCTAAATCCCCGGAGTTAGTGTGGATGGTGGAAGTGGTTGGGGGGTTCAGTGCTGGGATCTGAATCAAGCTGAGAGCTGCATTATTGTTATTTTACAACCTGCAGTTTTGGGTAGATATAAGTTTTTTTTTTTTATCTGTTATATGCACACACAATCATTCAGAGAGTATGTGCAAAGCAAATATTAAAAAAAAATGATTATTATAAGGTCAAAAACATAAATGTGAATAAAAATTTCTTATGTCCCTGGGAATTGCGGGAGGGGTACTGTGGTGGGAGGTGGGGTGCAGTGTTGGTATCTCAGCCTCCAGCAAAGCTGTGAGCTGTGTTATTGATATTTTTCAGCTCATGTTTTTGGGTAGATATACGTACAGTATTTTTATTTATTTATTTATTTTATGTTATTTAATGTTACGTGCACATATACTTAATCATTCATACAGAATGTGCAAAAAAGAAAAAAAAATTCATAAAGTAAAAACTATAAACGTACTAAACATTTATTACGTATATGGGAGCTAGTACCAGAGAGTGAGGGAGAGAGGAAACAGAGTCTCTTGACGGCTCTGCTGTCTCATACTAATGGCAAGATTGTCAAATAGTAATGCAGTAGTTTTTTCTATTATTTTATTTATTACATATTATTTTTACTTATTCCTCACATTTTCTCAACCTATATATTATTTTATGTACAAAGAATAAGTTGTTCCACATGCACACCATCCTCTGGGCAACGTGAAACAGTTCTGCTGTTTAGCCTGGTTGTTACTGGACGGGTAGAAACCTCCCACATGGGTCGCACGTGTTACTCCCTCCCATAAAGTAATGTACTAAAGCTAATCAGTAGTTTGTTAATTTTTTCATGTTAGGTAGTAAATTAGAGTAATTGTGTACTATTTATCATTAGTTAGGAAGGTTTTGTCCTTGTTGGAACCTAACCCATTCGTACCTTGAGAGATACCTGTTCTTTATCAGCTAATCTTTGACTTTTAGGAGGGAGCAGGGCCATCCCTGCCACCCCAAGTGAAACATGTTTTTTAAGAGGGGTGTTTTCTGAGGTGCATGCACATCTCCATGCCAAATTTCAGTTTTGTCTTCAAAAAATGTTGCTGGAGACTGCAAACAGATACAAACACACACATATATATATTCTGGTTTTACGCGGATATTTTTTATGCGGAAGGCCTTTTACGCGGCACCTGTTAGAAGAGATAATTATTATTTATATGGTAAATTCCATCATATACACAGCAAGCAGCAAGGCAAGGTGCTGATGTCAGACGTCGCAGACTGGGATTGGGCCACATATCCTTACCACCCACGCACCCCCCCTCGGCCGCGAGGTGTGATTGGTCTAGTTATCCTTGCCACCCCCCCACCCAAACTCTCCACCGCCGCCTCAGTCTCACTGTCTCCGGGCATACATTCACTCGTGCCCAGGAACCAGTGCTATTTTTTCTTTCTACACAATAGCTTCCGCTGGACTCCCACCACCCCTAAGAAACCCTGAACTACCTGGCCTAAGCCGCGCCAAGCCCAAGAAGGTGCAACGTGCCTTAAGCTATGAGGTGAAGTACAAGATCGTCTAGGAGTTAGAAAAAGGCACGAGACAGGTGGATCTGGCCAGACAATATGGAGTGAATGAATCGACGATCCGCACTATCAAGAAGGATGCCGGCAAAACCAGTGCCTCACTGGTGAAATATTGCCACAATAAGATGCTGCTGAAGACCGAGAGTTTGTTGGAAAGCTACATTAATCGTTAGCCAAGAAGGAAAGTCGACACTCGGGCACTGCAAGACTACGCCCGGGAACTCTACACAGCAGTAGCAAGAAAAATGGGGGTTGCGGAGGCCAAGCCCTTCAGTGCTTCCGCTGGGTG